ACTAGAAGCGGCACACACAAGTAACTCTAAGAAATGTAGCGTTTAATCGCGCTGCGCTGACAGTGTTCAAACACGATGCTCAAAAGGGTGTTTCCAACGCTTTGCTACGACGTCACGGTGGTGGCACCTGCCCCTCGCTTTGCGTTCTACACCTTATCACCTCCGAGACTGGCGCGCATCTTTCTCCGCAGGCTGCACGCCTTCGTTTTCGAAGATAACTGCCAGATGGCGCTTGTGTCTAATGTGCCTCTATGCGCTCGTTCGCCTCCGCTACACGTTCGAGGCACTTTAGCGCAGCGCCATGAGATTCACCGATTTTCATGCGCAGAACATCAAATAAACGTTTTGTTCACTCTCTCCAAACGCAACAATATCACCTCTTCGACGAAATTTGCGGTGTAACATGCAGATTTGGAACCAATTTTTTTTACGTCGCTCTCATTGATGACCCCGACGGCCGATCTTCGTGTTCGATTAGGCATGCAAGGCTACGCCTTATTGCAGCAAATGAATATGCGATCGTCTTGTTCTTTCGGTGCACTTGGTCAAAAGGGTGTCAAGAGTTGGCGTTGATCGAGTGTGTGCTCTGCCCTCAGTGGATCGTGATCGCCGACCTGTTCCTGTACGGCGAGCCGGTGACGCTGGGCGAGTACACGTTCCCGGTGTGGGTGAACGTGGTCGGGCACGTGCGCTGTCCTCGTGGCCGTCCAGATAATCGCCGCGTTCGCCATCCACCACCTGCGCAGCTGCGGATACGTGAGTCAGCATACTTGGCGGCGTTGTTTTTGGTGCGCGTAGTGAGCCAAGGAGAAAACACTGTGCCACGGGGAACAAACCGGTGTTACAGACATCGTAGTTAAAGTCAAGAAGAAGTAGACATGGTCGGGGCATGTGGTGCGTAGGCAAGATAAACACTGGTCATTAAGAGTAACACTTAATTCCAGTAGAAGATGAACGCGTGAAAGCTGGACAGAAATGACAGATGCTTAAGAAGTTTGTGGGTATAAAACGTTGGCAGGTCTTCATGGCTCCATTCAGCCATGATGACCATTTAGTAACTAATAACCTAAAGCTAAAGAAGTTGAAGACACAGTTTGCTATAAACTTAAATGTCAAGATGGAAAAGAAGCAGGATGGAGACTAGGCAGTGGGTGAATGTGACATCGGTTCTAGAGATACCCGAGCCGACTTATTGGTAGAGTTCGCAGAACGCAACAATTTACGAATCTTGAATACCTTCTAAAGAGAAAACGAGTGAGCGGTAAATGGACTGAAGGGTGCGCTAATAGCGAAATGATGATAATGCCTTTCAAATAAAACTAAAATCGGATGATGCTGATGATGCTCACAATTTTTTTTTTTGTATCGAAAGTCGGCATCATCATCATTATAGATTCTCTGTACAACGATTATTGCGGCCTGTAACTGGCTCAATCTATTTGTGCCTGCCTTGGCGCGCTACCTTCGACCCTTCGTGATGTCGAGCGCGCGGACGCAGGACCTGCACAAGGCTCTGCTTCCGTCCCCCAACTGGGGACCCAGGGACCCCACTGACCACCGGGAGTACGTTCACTTTCTGCAAGAGCGCGGAATGGGAGGTCCAACCGAGCAGGAGCCGAAGCAGCCTGCGCAGCCGTCGCTGGGCGAAGGAACCAAAAGGGCGCCGTTTCGCCGCAGTCGGCCAACACTGCCAGTCACGATCAGCCTGCCACGCCGACGGAAGCTGTTGCGCCTCTGCCCAATAGCGCGCCGGCTAAAGCTTGACGTCGTGAGGCTTGACACGAACGCCGCGCCATCTGCTGCCATTAATTCGAGCGTGGCAGCCCTCTAAAAAACGTCGTGGACGAGTCGACGAAAATGGCGACGTCTGAAGCCGTCTAGGCGAATTAGTTCCGTGTTTTCGTTTCACTTTTAGTGGTACATTTCTCGCTGTATATATTACACACACAGTGTCATTTCACTTTTTTAATTCGTGAAGAAAATGTATTCGTATAAATAAATGCAATCTAGACGTGGTATGTAATCTCTAAATATAAAACTAAGACTGCTGATACTTTCCGTAAACCATTCTATTTTTATGCTAGATTTTTGTTCAGGCTGCAGATTCCGCATCCGAGCGTGTTCGCGTTTAATGGTTATTTGTGGTTGATTTCTTAGAAAGTTCACGTTGCAGCTGAAACCTAAATTTTTCCCGAATGACTGAACGAATATTCCGACGTCTCACGCGGTCGCGGCGTATTACTATTTTGTGTTTTCGTCACTTTTATTCTAGTGCATTTCATGCCGTGTATGTGGCACGGGAAGTGTCATCTTTTTCGCCTCGATTCATGAAAACATTCGTTTAGAGAAGTAAGTGGTCTGTGTGTTTCTGCCTGTGTGAATATTTGTAAGCGTGTAGTGGTATATCACGTCTAAATAGAAAAACTCTGAAAGCGTTTGTAATGTTTTTGTTTTCATGTTGAAATTCATTATATATATATATATATATATATATATATATATATATATATATATATATATATATATATATATATATATATATATATATATATATATATATGTATGTATTTTGTGTCCGTGCGTTATTAACCTAACGAGATTTATGAAAGGCGTGCTGATCGCTTTCAAAATTTCATTGAAGTGGAAACCTCACTTTAATTAACATTGAACCGGAAACCTCACCGTAATTAACATTGTTTGTGGCGAGCTTCGAAATTGTTTCATTTTTTACTACATAATTGTTGTTCCTAGCAGCACGGCTTTTTTCGGCGCCTTGATCGAAGTTTCGCTTTCGGGATGATGTAAAACACGGTAGAATGTGAGCTAGATTACGTGATAGACCGTTTTATGAAAATGTGTTCGAAAATCGTCGGCACATTGCGATCATGGCAAGCATCAGATGGTAGCTTCGAAAATATGCCTACCCTTTTAGATGCGGAGCATCTTATACTCGCGCCTTGTAGTGCGCCGTCCGCGCCGTCCGCACCGCTTCTCGAACATTCGACAGCTGACGCGCGCGCATGCGCCGTCGCGCCGTCGCCCACTCTTCCACCATCTGTGCATCCCTTCCTCCTCTACACACCGCGCGCGCTTCACTCCTCCACCATCTGTGCACCCTTCCTCCTCTACACACCGCGTTCGACATCTACAATTCTCCTGATTCTCCAGTGGACGCGCATGTGGCGTCGCGCTTCGAGAACATTCAACAGCTGACAGTGCATGCGCCGTCGTGCTGTATATATACTCAAGGTCGGCGCTCGCTCGCTCAGTTGCCGCTCGTCGGTTGGTTTGTACGGCGCGTCGACGTCCAAGGTCGCGGTGAAATGAATTCCAACGAATCCACAAACACAATGATCGACGTCCCTTCGACCAGCGCCGCCCTTTCGCATACGTGTGTACGTGTTCACTCATTTAACACCCCCTCCTACAACCACGTTAACCAATTTAGCCATCGACCCAAGTAAGTCGCAATTTAACACCCCATTTCACAACCACGTTAACCAATTTAGCCATCGACCCAAGTAAGTTGCACTTTAACACCCCGTTAACCAATTATATGGTCCGCATCCTCCTCAGTGTTCCCCCGAGGGAAGCTGCGGGCAATTTTTTTCAATGCCAAGCTGAACAAAGCTGAAAGCTGTCGAATGCACGTGCAGCTTGCCACGGAACACAATGATTCGCCGGAATTCGGATGCTCGCGTAGCAAGGATGGTGTTACGTCATGGATCACGAGTGCGCCATTGTTGTTCCAACTCTCGGGTCGATCGCGGGTTTATATATATAAAAAAATACGATTATAATTTAAGTGCTCGACCTAATGTGTCAAAATTTCGCAAGCTTGCTTGTGAACCTACAAAAATTAATTCACGTAATTGGCATGGTATATGATAGAATATGCGTGCAATTTTGCCCTCTTGTCAGCTTATAAACATCTCACGTACAGTTAACAGACAAGGCTTAAATATTCAGGACTGTTCGATGTTGATTATGACAGCTTAATGCTACTTGTATGTACTTTATCGTTTCCACGCGAATATTGCCATAATGATCGCAAAGGTCATGTGAAAAGCTTGAACTGCTCCCGATTTCGGAGGTTGTGGAAAACCACGATAGTTGCGAAGGATTCTGAAGCCGCGCGAAGTAGGATGAATACATCGACTGATAAGAAACTGCCAGACCTGCGTGGAATGCGCAGTGCAGTCACAGCGAAAGTTGGAAGAGCGGCCTTTCAGAAATTTTTTTAAGCACTCTTTGGGTAACAAGCTTACTTGCAGAGAACCCACTACGTCATTACTTTTGCAATGGGTTGTACCATTGTGGCTCAGTTGTAGAATACCGAGCTGGCACGTGGGATGCCCGGGTAACAATAGCAATATGTCCATGTTTTTTTCATTTAATAAGTCGTCTTGGGCGAATTTTTAAGGGACCGTGCCAGTTTTAGGTGCGAAGCGCCTCAGGATCCTTGTTTGTCGGCGTCTAATGTCGTCACAGTGTGTCATTTAGCCATTGTCTAATACAAATGGGCATGCACAAAAATAGGATAAATCCCAATACTCGCCACCGGCCCACTAAGAATAAAGTAAGCCACAGTCGGCCCAACAAATTTAATAGCCGACAATATAGGTGGAGCCGGAACACTCTTCGCTACATGGCGTCGGGTACTGTCACAAGGCATGTAGAAGCAAGCAGCAGCACGTTAGGGTAAGCTGCACTCCGATGCAATTTACCGAAGAAGTTAGTGGAGTGGAAGCACTCTTCCCTACATGCCCGGTTTCAGGCTTGGCACCCCTAATGCCTCATCATAAAACGCTGCATGATTCGCCTTTCCCTAGGTTGCACGTTAGTGGAGCTGATACTCTTCCCTACATGCCTCGCTTTTTTTTTTCATTCGCATTAACTTTTGTTGCTCGTAGTTATCGCCTCGTATAACCTCGTTTATTCTCACAGACTCAGTCACATCTCAGCCTAACACACCTACAAGGCTTTGGATGGCTATTGGTCTATTTCTTTGCCGCTCCTTTGACATCTGCCTTCGCTTCTCCTTTGGCATCTGCTTTCGCTTTTCCTTTGGCGTCCGCTTTTGGCACCGCTTTTGGTGGCTCCTCTGTTGGCGGCTCCTTGATCTCCGGCTTGGCAGCCTCACCGGCTGCACCTGGCTCGGGCTTGTCTGCTGGCTTCAGCGCCTCGGCAGCCTCCTTGGCCTCTTCCCGCGCCTTCTCCTTGATTTCGAGCTCTCGTAGCTCTCTCTCGCTCTCGTTGAGCCGCTCGGCTTCGTCGGCCTTCATGAAACCCTTGTCGACCATGAATAGCCGGTAGCGGCGGCGGACTTCGTAGCTCTTGGGACCCCAGCTGTCGAGAGGGGCGAGCGCCTTCCGAAAGTCCTGCGTCGCCAGATTTTCGAAATATAGTCGTAAACCTGAAAGGCTATTCTTTTTTTTTTTTTGCGCACTCCATTACTCGATGGACGAGAGTCGACTCTTTTTCCTCGCCTACAGTTGAACTGCACAGTTGAACCCCTTCATGAAGTACAATTGAACCCCTTCATAAGAGACATGTACCGGGGAACAATTGTATCATATGTGAATTTCTTCCTATTAACATTGTGTCTAACAAATAAAACTCTTCAATTTACGCTCATTTCCTTCATTTATACGAGCTGTATCTTATAAGCGCAGTACCAAGTTCTCGTTTTCTTACCGACCCCTATTTCGATGCGTGCACACTGGTGCCTCTCACACCCATTTGTCCCTTACATCGGTGTCTTATGAAGAGATCAGTGCGTGAACTACTAAATCTCGGAAGTTCCCTCACCCAATTGGCGGCCCAGAGCTCCTTGAGAGCGACGATGGGTATCAAGGCCAGACCGATGCCGGCCAACATGAATCCGGCAATCTGGGACCACATCGGGAACTCGTACGGGTGACCACGCCGCTTCACCGTCACCGGCTCGAAGTTGGTGAGCGACGTCGTAGCCAGAACCTGGTGAAAAGTACGACGAAGTCGTTTAAGATGCGAAGCAGCTCATGGAGAAGCTCTGTCCGTCCCTCACTCCCTCCCGCGGCATCCCCTCCCCCCACAAACACTGCGCATGCGCAATCCCTTCTCTCTCTCTTCCCTCTCCCACACTTCCCGATCTTTCCCAAGTATGAAGCGAAGGCAACGAAACGCTTCCTCAGGATTAATAGTGTGCTGCGCAAATAAACAACATCAACAACAACACTCTGGTTTAACGTGCCAGTCCCGCCATGGTGGTCTAGTGGCTAAGGTACTCGGCTGCCGACTCGCAGGTCGTGGGTTCGAATTCCGGCTGCCGCGGCTGCATTTCCGATCGAGGCGAAAATGCTGTAGGCCCGTGTGCTCAGATTTGGGTGCACGTTAAAGAATCCCAGGTGGTCGAAATTTCCGGAGCATTCCACTACGGCGTCTCTCATAATCATATATGGTGCTTTTGGGAAGTTGAACCCCACATATCGTCATCATGGTTTAACGTGCCAAAACCATAATATGACTATGAGATAATTAATTTACATTGTAGGTGCTTGTATCCATTTTCGTTTAGGAATATGCATGCGCTACGCGATAACTACAAGCTTGAATGACGCCACATCATTTGCAGCATCAATAAATATTTACCAGCGACACTTTGCAGGAAAATTATAGAAAATATGCAAAAAGAATAAAAAAAATGTGGCTGATCCCCCTGTATAGGTATGGGTATAACACGAAAGTGAAACGTGTTTTTACAGATTTAGTCGAGCGTTTGTTGTTGTTTCAGCCACAGCAACAAATTGCCAGGTCACGTTAGAATGACAATCAGCTCGAAACTTGCAGCACACACCTCGAGCAGGAAGCACGAATGAAATTAGCATGCGCAGGATGAGCGCGGACTAACGACTGTCACAGCTCGACACTTAAAGCGCGTTGTGCAAACGGAAAGAAACATGTAACAAGCGCACCAGTATACGCAAGACAATCGCAACACGTGGGAGTGTGCAGAGCACGACGAAGAATACGACATCATTGGCCCATGGGAAAAATTGGAGGCGCTGCTGTCTATAGCCCAGCCCTGGTGGGTCAGCTGCGACTGATCCAAAGAGCCGAACGAATGGCTCGCGCCAGTTGGGCCCTGGAATTGGGGCACCACCCTGCCGGGCAGACTTAGCTCTCCACCCTGTATATTCCTCGGGGCGCTGGAGTTCTAGCCTGTCTGGATTATGTACATAATAAAGTTTTCTTCTTCTTCTACAACAACAACAACTACTACAACAACTACTACAACTACTACAACAACTACTACAACTACTACAACTACTACAACAACTACTACAACTACTACAACAACTACTACAACTACAACAACTACTACAACAACTACTACAACTACTACAACAACAACTACTACTACTACTACTACTATACTACTACTACAACAACAACTACTACTACTACAACTACAACTACAACTACAACAACTACTACAACTACAACTACAACTACAACAACTACTACTCCTACTACTACAACTACAACTACTACAACAACTACTACAACAACTACAACAACTACAACAACTACTACAACTACAACAACTACAACAACTACAACAACTACTACAACTACAACTACAACAACTACTACTCCTACTACTACAACTACAACTACTACAACAACTACTACAACAACTACTACAACAACTACAACAACTACTACAACTACAACAACTACAACAACTACTAATAATAATAATAATAATAATAATAATAATAATAATATAATAATAATAATAATAATAATAATAATACTCTGGTTTAACGTGGCAGCCCGCCATGGTGGTCTAGTGGCTAAGGTACTCGGCTGCTGACTCGCAGGTCGCGGGATCGGATCCCGTCTGCGGTGGCTGCATTTCCGATCGAGGCGAAAATGCTGTAGGCCCGAACGCTCAGATTTAGGTGGTCCCAGGTGGTCTAAATTTCCAGCGCATTCCACTATGGCGTCTCTCATAATCATATATGGTGCTTTTGGAACATTAAACCCCACATATCATCATCATGATTTAACGTGTCAAAACCATAATATGACTATAAGATAATTAATTTACATTGTAAGTGCTTGTATCCATTTTCGTTTAGGAATATGCAAGCCTTACGTGATAACTACAAGCTTGAATGACGCCACATTATTTGCAGCATCAATAAATATTTACCAGCGACACTTTGCAGGAAAATACTAGAAAATATGCAAAAAGAATTAAACAAAAGTGGCTGATCCCCCTGTATAGGTATGGGTATAACACGAAAGTGAAACGTGTTTTTACATATTTTGTCGAGCGTTTGTTGTTGTTTCAGCAACAGCAACGGCAAGGTTCCTTTTGGCATTGCACAACCACAACACAACACAACACAACAACAACTACTACTACTACTACTACTACTACTACTACTACTACTACTACTACTACTACTACTACTACTACTACACTACTACTACTACTACTACTACTACTACTACTACTACGATACTACGACTACTACTACTACTACTACTACTACTCTACTACTACTACGACTACTACTACTACTACTACTACTACTACTACTACTACTACTACTACTACTACTACTACCTAACTACTACTACTAACTACTACTACTACTACTACTACTACTATACTACTACTACTACTACTACTACTACTACTACTACTACTAACAACGACTACTACTACTACTACTACTACTACTACTACTACTACTACTACTACTAACTACTACTACTACTACTACTACTAGTTTTCCCCGTCATCCCTAATACTGAGACGCGATATTTTAATTGCACAGCTGCGCACACAGCAAGAGAACGCGCCCCGACTTCTGCTAGGTGCGGTTTATTCCATTAATTAAATTGGCCTCCTAATTGGATGGCAGCGCCACGCTCGACTTCTGCTAGGCTCGGTTCATTCCGTTAATTAAAACGAATTCTGTAATGCGCGGTTCATTCCATTAATTATAACTGAATTAAAACGGCCTCTTAATTGCACGGCAGCACCACGCTCGACTTCTGCTAGGCTCGGTTCATTCCGTTAATTAAAACGGCCAGCGGCGCTCATGCACTCGCAAAATGCACCGGTTACGAAAAAGCCACAACTACAGGAGAAAATTTTTCCGCCAAATTTAGTGAGTCTGGCAACAGCCACCCCAAAGTCTGGCAACTGATTTATGCAATGCCAAAAGGAACCTTGCCACAGCAACAAATTGTCAGGTCACGTTAGAATGACAATCAGCTCGAAACTTCACTACTACTACTATACTACTACTACTACTACTTACTACTACTATACTACTACTACCACTAATATACTACTACTACTACTACTACTACTACTACTACTACTAAGATACTACCGAAACCTGTCACATTCTTCCTGCGCCATGTGTCAGCAACGCGCTGCTTTAGTAAACGCGGCCGCGCCGCGTGTGGAGTGACCTTCGTCCTGTCCCGAATTACGAATCTGATAAGCTCGCGCGCAGGAGAGAACACGCTCTGTGGAGGCGGAGCTTGGAGAAGCTAGGCGGCGACCTTCTTGTCCATCGCGAGCCCGTTGCCCCATCTCGCCACTGATGACGAAAACGAACTAAAGTTTTGAAGCTCTGAGGACTGCCAAACAGTGTATGGTTTATATAAATGGCATGCCGTTAGCCTTCCAGACGACGTACGCTCCGTGGCATAATCGTTAGCGCCGTGCGTTGAGAATCGAGAGGGCTATGGTTCGATTTTGCGTGACTGGTATTTTTTTTTTCTTTGCAATCTCTTAGTACATTTTTCAACTTCACTTCCGTGACGGAAGTACGTCAGCGTAGTAGTGGTGGACTCCGGCACAAAACACTTCCGTGCTAAAAGGGTAAAAAGAGAGACGCACTCACAATTACAGCCACGGGCAGACAGTACTTCCACGTGATGTACATGAAAATGCCCGGCGCCCCTCCGAGCATGAACTCCATGTCAGCGATCATGCGCGAGATGCCTGCAGCAGATAGAGTGCGCGTGTTCGTCGCGCACTTCAGCGACACGCAATGGCACATGCCGCGACAGATGACTGTGCGCAATAACGTCTTGCGGATAACGCAAGACGTTATCTGTCTTGCGGATAACGTCTATGCTGTTGTTTTGAACGGAAACGGCTTCATTTTTGTTCACCAATATAACCAAACGTACAGACTTACTGGACTTACAGCCAGGAATGAATAGTGTCCAGTGCATCGTTAGGAGATCCGGCTGTAACACTTTTTCGAGTTAACGTGGAATGGTTACAGTGAAATTAAGGCGAAAGCCATCGATGCCTTATCAAACGGGAAATTTGACGGTTGGCGGCAACCGCCTCGCGGCGTCGGGGAAAAGTGATGCAAAAGATCATCAGCCCATGATGACGTCACCAATTGACACTATCAAGACGTCACATAGTGCTGGAATTTGTGACGTCATCGTTACGTCATATACTTTGGCAGCAAACAAAAGAGAGGAGCGTGCGATTATAAGAGAAGAAAAGGAAGACGACGCTTGGCGGTTGCTAGTTAAGCCACGCCTCCTGTTCCCTGCTTCTTTGTTGTAAATCGACAGAGAAGAATAAGAAGAAGGCATTCGCCTTCGAGTCGTTGCAGGTGAAAGTACAAGAAAGCCTGGGATCAAATCAACTGCCGCGGAAATTTTCGGACCAGTCAAGTACAAATGGAGTTGGATATATATGGCACGTGTCAGGCGCTTTCTTTCTCCTTTCGCACAGGCCACCCTGCAGAAAGCTACGCAGTGAGGGGTATTGCAAGAAGATGCGCCTCTTCGTCAACACGCGTGATGATCTTCAACACTTTTTCTTTGCGTTCTTCGAACGCACGGCTTTCTTTCAGTATGACCGCGAGGCTACTGAATTCTACGTGATAGCAACGTGTTCTTGCAGAAAGAGTCCCATGTTTCAATAAGTTAAGAGAATGCCGCTCACCGTATCCAAAGACGAGGGTAATCATTTCGGCTACGCCCACCCAAGGGATCAAGTGACTGGAGACGAACTCGTCCATGAGCGTCAGAATGTACAGACCTCCCTGAAATAGTGAGAGAATGCCACCAGGCGGTGCCATTGAACACAACTCGCTGGTGCTTCGAGCTTAAATATCCGCAGCAGTCAGGTGAAAAAAAAATCATTTATGTAGCTTTGTTACTTTCATCTGTTATCCTGCCTACATGCTATGTGCCCAGCCCACGTTCATTTTTTTCTTCTTGATTTGAACTATAATAACCTTAACCCTGGTTTGTTATCTGATCCACTCTACTCTCTTCTTGTCTCTTGAGGTTACACCGATCTTTTTTTTTTTGCATCGGTAGCTGCGTCGTCCTCAGTTTCAGCTGAACCTTAAGTCTCCAGGTTTCTGCTCCGTAGCCAAGTACCGGCAACATGCAGCTGTTTTAAGCTACCAGTCATAATTTGAGAATGTATGACAAATGTGCTCCTCCCCATCCTTATTCTTCTAGTTACTTCAATCTCGTGGTTCGGCTCCACGGTTACTACATGTCCTAAGTAGACGCAAGTTTTTACAACTTCAAGTGGACTGCTGCCCATCTCGAAGCGCTGTTCTCCTCTGAGGTTGTAGCACATTACTTTAGTTTTGTGCATATTAATTAAAGATAGCTGTTAAGGCATCTAATTTCATCTTTATGCAAATTAATCGATGGCTCGCTCACGCACGCGTGACATGCCTTAATCAGCAGACGCATTCCGATGCCGGTACAAGTTTTTTTGCTTTTTTTTTTCTTTTCCGCATTCCGTGCGCATCGTCAGTTGTTAGTCAGCGTCTGTGATGTATTGGCTCCCTGCGTTCGTGTTGCGTTCCCTGTCTTTCGTGATGAGTTCCTTCAAGTACCTGCGTCGCGATGGGCAGTCCCATGAGGAAAAGGAAGACGCAGGAGGCGGTGGCCACGGCCGTCTCGTAGATGCGGAACGCCTGTATCTCGTCTTTCAGCGGAGTCAGGGCGGCCTCCAGGAAGCCGAACTGGAAGGCGCAGAGGAACAGCGGCGTGTATACACATTGCGTTCTGGCAACAGTCGTTATGCTTAGTTAGACAGGCGTTCAATAAAAGCGACCAACTGAACAAGACGAGGCAAAAAAAAAAAAGACGTTTGAGCCTCGCTTTCAAAAGTAGAGCACGATAAGCCGGTGCGCATTGCCTTTTCTACTGTCTGACGACGCCGACAAGGGATGTTCTGCGAAACTAGCTCTCGACACCATAACATTGAGGGCCAAAGCCAGTTCCACCCCAAATGAAAGCTGTAAGACTTGCGGAGCCCCAATTCGCGCGCGTTTTCATTGTGTTTATCTTGTCTTCATTCGCTCTTGCGTTATTGTGTGTTTATCTGCTCTCTTCTATTGTTCTCGTGTGATTGTGCGATATATCCTTTCCAAGTCACTTCTTGGGATTACCTCATTTCTTTTGTGATCATCTTTTTCGTTGTTGTTGTTCTACGGTATCCTTCGTACTGATTTTCCGCTGTTTACTGCTGCGAGCACGGTGCATCTAACCTCGTGTTTCAACTCTGGTTCTCTTCCGACGTCAGTTTCATAAACTCTTCCGTAAAGGTGTATCAAACTCCCGACGCTGACGTTTCGTTGTTGCTTCACTGGCTTGGCCAGATCAAGTAGCTCTTCTGCGGCGATGGCGTTCACGAGTGACGTACAGGCTGCGCTAATTTAATATCAACTGCTCCGCAGTTGAAAGAAAGAAATATTAGCACAGCTTGCACAAACTTGCGTAGGTTGGGACACAACAGAACTGGTGGTCACAGGGGTCGCCCCGACTTTTTTAGGCGTTTACCATCTCGACTATGTCCCTATAACCCTTGCTCTTTCTTTTTTTTATTCCATCTTTTTCTGTCTGTGACTGTAAGCGGACCTCTGTCATAAAAACTCGCTTTGCTGCTGCAATAAATAAATAAATAAATAAATAAATAAATAAATAAATAAATAAATAAATAAATAAATAAATAAATAAATACTATAGTGAATGCGTGCCACAGAAATGGCGCAACTTGCACACCACGCTGGTGCAATAAAAAATAGCAAGTAAACACGCTTTCGGCGAACACCGATTAGGGGACGCACGTTTCAGCTTCTCTTGTTAACCACCTGTATACAAAGTGCTTCTACGATTGTATAAGCACATGCCGGTTCACAGAAATGATAACTTTCTATGTACGACATGCGGTAAACTTCTACCGTAACAGCTTTGCCGTTAAGGAAGCTTGTGAGGTCAGGAAACGTCAAATGCACAGTGGAAAGTCTGTTCCTCTGACAATATACTGTCGTGTTGTGGATGTGCTGTTGCTCCTGCTAGTCGGTTTGATTGAAGTGCCAATGTTCCTATAATAAACGGACAAAGACGTTTTACCGACAATGGTGGCGCCACGTTTAATGTAGTTGCGCATCGATATGTGGCGCAATCGCACACAAGCTTCACGAGAGAAAGTGCACAGCCCAGAAGCAAGAAGAGGCGCTTTCAGTTATTCGGCGTTGTAATGTTACTGCATACATCCAGTTCGAGTTACCGATCGCTCGGGTGAAATTCCATATTTCGGCAGAGTGATTTCACTTTAATGTACAACACACGTCTGCCCTTGAAGTTAAAGCCTTACTTTCGAATGCCTCTGCGATTTTCGTTGAAAAACTTTTCCCGTACCTTGACGTTATGGTTATTACTTCGTACCTCTGAGTCGATGGCGAGCAAGAACAGCATGGCGAAGAATGCCACAGACCAGAAGCGTGGAAACTCGATGAGGCTGAGCGCCTGCGGATACACCACGAACGCCAGGCCGAACGCTGCGTGCAATGTTATCCTTTATAGCCCATTTGTCTAACGCTAAAGAGAGCGCAGAATATATATATATATATATATATATATATATATATATATATATATATATATATATATATATATATATATATATATATATATATATATATATATATATATATATATATATATATATATATATAACCGCCCCCACCGACGGAGACAGTCCACGCGAGTCGATTATGAGAGACAAGAGGCCCGCGCTTCTGCGGAGTGTGCCACAGCCAGCTTTGCACGTTACTTCACTTGGGCTGGAGTTTGGACATTCTTACATTGTCTGTGACAGGCTGTGGCTCGACTACACTTTGTCTGCGCCAAGAAAAGAGGGGGACATCAGCAAAGAAGACAACGTTAAGGCCCTAAGATCAACAAACTGCTTCGCTATTAAGCATTCCACGGCTAGTGTATTTTTTTAATTATTTAAATTGTATTTATTGATTTTTTCTGACAATGTCAGACGTTGACGACTGGGCCTAAACGAAGTGAGACGACTGATGGGTTTCAAGGGATCCCGCTTTTATATTTAGCATGCCATAGCCTAGAAATACTATGGCGAATCAGTTTTCGTTTCTTATACGACCAAAATCGCCGTGCTAAGGCCGAAAGAGGAGGAAGGTGTATTCAGATTATATTCCCACTGTGCCCGAGCGCGTGGCAGTCTCCGCTTTCGCTAACTATTCGCTAAATAGCCATTTATTCAGCATACTCGGGTAAAAACTTTGAATCGTCTCCGCATCTGCTAATCGTAATCACCGCACGTGTTGCATCTGAAGACAGTCGAGCAAGATTCCCGTGCCTTACCCTCCTCGTAAACCATTTTTTTCTTTTTCCTGAAATCTTCTTCATTCCAAGTTCTTTCAATAAACTATCAGTTGATAGCTTGCGCTTGTACTGCCCACTTCGTTTTTTGTCTCCTCCCTAACTTCGTTCTCCGCAGCAACTGTATAGCGCAATTTTTTCAGTCATGAAAAACCAACTAGCCCAATACGTCGCTTTGTTCCGCTTTCGCGTCTTCGTCGTCGATACTGTTCTTAGTCCTTCAGTATAGTCACGTGACAATATATTATGGAATCGAACGCGTTTCCTTTTGGTGTATTTTCAAACTAGTACAGCTGTTGATGAAAAACAAACAAACAAAGGAAGTGTTTCGAGCATCTCACACGACTGTACAACATCGGGCACGGGCACGTCCAGTTGGTGCGCCATGTTTCCCAGCACAGAGAAGATGACCACGCCGCCGAAGATGCTGACGAAGGAGTCCGTCGCCGCAATGACGTATACATCCCTGCGACAAGTGACCGAGGCGCATATAAGTACCTTGCACATGAACGACTGGGTCAAGAACTGCGCAACGAGTCAACCGTCTTAGCTGATAAACTCCAGGTTAATTGATTGCTGATTGCTTTATTTGCTTCGTCACAGTACAGTGTAACAGGAAGCGGAGGGAAAAGCCGTAATGACGGCTTGAGGGATCCTCCGCCCCCTTTGTGAACAATGGCAGCAGATGAAGGACATCACAATATCATACACTTTCACATTGTTTTACGTAAAGATCATGCCACAAAGGAAGGAAACCTGAAAACGTAGTTGATACATAGCTTACACAACAAAGAAACTTGCAGCAATCTTCTGCACCTGAATAAATACATAGTTTATAGAACATATAACATAGTTTGCTACATAATTTATAGAACAAAAAGAGCCGCTAATTCTGCGACACTTAAATGAGACACATCTATACCTTTGCTAATATAAGTATTCAGAATTCGCGGTAGAGTACATCGAAGCATCTGAAAACCATAATTAGTGCGAAAGTACGGAACGTTCCACATTTCTGTATTTCTTGTTACATACGCCTTTTCCTTTAAGCAAAGATTCGCCATTTCCGTAAACAAAAAGTTTGCGCGTTTGCAGCTAAGACAGTACTCTCGTAGTAGTCTGTATTGATATAGGTCATTCACTTTGATTATCTTATATTTTTTAAACAGTGGGTCACTAGGTGCTAGAGCTGTAGCGTTGTCTATCAGCCTCAGTATTTTCTTCTGTATTCTCAGTAATTTTGTTAAGTTTGTTTCTGTAGTTGTTCCCCAAACCAAATAGCAATAGTTAAGATAAGAACTAAACAGCGATTTGTATATCAATAACTTCACCGAATTGGGGATGAGGTACCGGATACGGCTGAGTATTCCAGTTATCCGGCCTAATTTTATTTGAATATTATTTACGTGGTCATCCCATTGCAAAGAACTGGAGAAATGTACCCCAAGTACTTTCACTGACTTCACTATTTCTATATCTGAGCCTCTAAATACAATATTATTCTTCAAAGTCACTTGTTGACCTTTCGAATGAAAAACTACCGCTTTTGTTTTAGTTGCATTTATTTTTAACTTATTGTTACTTGTCCAGTTGTCTAACTTCTGTAAGACGTCATTAGCTTTATTAGAAAGAATAACATCTGATGATGAGGTGACAAATATACTCGTGTCATCTGCATAGATAATAAACTTAACTTCTGGGGAGATATGGACTATGTCATTAATATATAAAGTGAATAATAAAGGGCCAAGAATGCTCCCTTGTGGTACCCCTGAAATTATATTTTTCTTATCTGATACTAAGTCATTTATCGAAACAAATTGACATCTATGCGCCAGATAGCTTTTAAGTAACATGAGTGGGAGCCCGCGAATGCCATAATGGTTTAATTTTTCAAATAAAATGCCGTGGTGAATGTAGTCAAATGCTTGTGTGAAATCCACAAAAATTCCGACCACTTTATTTTTTGTTCAAATTGTTGTAGAATATATTCTTTTTGATCCAGTAGGGCGAGTTCTGTAGACTTATGTTTTTGGAAGCCATATTGTGATTTTGTTAGGACATATTTGGTGCAAAAACAGGATCAGCGACTAAAAATAATTTTTTCGAAACCTTTAGAAAATACGGGGAGAATAGATATCGGTCGATAATTTGCAACGTTATGCTTGTTCCCCTTTTTGTAGAGAGCTATTACGCGTGCCGTTTGCATTTTCGAAGGAAAAACCCCTGTCGAAATACAGAGATTGAATATGTGTATTAGTGCTGGACTGATCTGATCGATAACATATTTCACTGGTTTTATTTGTATGCCATCAGCGTCGCAGCTGCGACTGTTTTTTAAGCCGAGAAATACTGTGCGGACTTCTGGTTCGATAGTACCTGCTAAGAAAAACGTGTTTGCAATTTCTGGACCCAGAGTTCGGCAAGTAGCGGTTGATCTGTCGCTAAAGTCTCTGTAAACGAAGTAATCATTAAAAACATTGACCATAGCCTCTCCACTGACCAAGTTTCCGTCATGGAGTACCTCCTTAATTTCTTCTGTTTTCGAATTTCGGCCCATCAAAGAGTTTATTCTATTCCATAAAACATCTGCTCGTTTTGAACACACAGTAAAAGATTTAATTAATTAATTAAATCTTATATAATTGCTAAACATAGGCGTACGCGCAAGGGGTAGGGGATAAGACCAGGGGAGTAGGGAAGAACCCCTCCCCCCCTTCCTAATCATTTAGAGGGGGCGCCATGTGTAAAGTTATGGCCATGGAGGTCTTAAACCATAATGGAATCTGAGGAATGCTGCATCTCATTAACTGATGCTCCATCTCATTAACTGTTCACTTCCAGCGCTTACCCCCGGGAAAGCCGATAACAATAGGAAAGCCGTTGTGAGAAGCGTATAATCGTGTCATTTCTTTGATTTTTTTTGCATTCATTTCGACGCTTGCTCTGTTTCGCGCTCGACCATTGGACGGGTGAGGGGGGGGGGGGGTGCGGTGATATTTGGTTTCCCTTTAATGAAACCTGCGCGCACCCACGCAAAAGGTCGCACACGCCGTAGCATAGGACTCTGGATCAATTTTTTGCCATACGGAATTTTTCTGCCCGTAGGTAAATCTAGAATTGGTACAGCGCATCACGGGAAAGGAAAGCAGAAACGGCCGAGCCGGACAACACAAAAGGACGGAACACTGCTGTCCTTCGACATAATATATAGTCGAGAGTTCGACGGAATACCGCCTGGTTATTGTACTGTCAGTGTGGTATACGGTCCTTTTGTTTTGGCCAGTTCGACCATTTCTTCTTTATCGTGGTGCGATTGGCCAGTTCAAGTACGACAAACCAACTAACCACATCTACAACACTTGTACATAAGTCAAGGTCACGCTTTTATCGTTGCCCTCTTCCCCTTCCCCCCTTATTGCCTGCGTCAATGAAAGCTAAGTTTCTTGGTCTCACCTAACGATGTTGTTGTGGAAGTCGTTGTAACTGGCGAGGCACATGTTCAGGCCCTGGGCGAGACTGATGGAAAAGAAGATCTGCACGGCCGCGGCTCTCCACGTCTGCGCGAAATTTGGAAAAAGAACTCGATGGACGTCATAGACAGATAGAGGTTATCGGTTCATCCAGCGGCCGTGACAAAACGTGCGTGAGAGGACGCATACGATTCTACGGCTTCGCTAAAACTGCTGCTTGGGCGAATTGGTTAATGTTTAAGACCCTCTCCAAGAACTAAGTACACTACCTACAGTGCATGCTTTTTAGTAGCTTTTTCTTAAAGCAGCTTTTTTTTTTCAACATTTTGTAATGTCGGTAGTCACCTCATTGCTTCTTCCTAGGGTGCCTGAATGCTTTCCCACGGAGCGGCGGGCGAGGGAAAGCATTCAGGCACCCTAGTTCGGCTTTACTTCGGCTTGCTTACAAGCGCCATCTCTGACGCCCGACACAAACAGCGGACGGCGTGAAGATGCCCTACTGTTGCTATGCGCCGGATGTCGCGTGGAAGAGTGACGCTCACGAGCTCAGGTGGCACGGGCTTCGAGAGTTTCATGTATCCAGGAGGCGCGTGATCTACTCGAGGGGCATGGACGTTCACCTCGCGTCGCGGTGCGATGCTTATAGGGCGTCTGCCCAGTCATGTAGCGCTAGAGCTTTGAATAAACCAATTTCATGATTAAACTCTGCAGTTTGTCACTATATATTATATATCTTATTATATATATATATATATATATATATATATATATATATATATATATATATATATATATATATATATATATATATATATATATATATATATAAAACACATTTGCCTCTGGTTACTCCCATGATTTGTTAAGCTTTGCCGTGTTTACCTGTTGGTTTGAGGCTTAAGTACATTTATTTTACTTTCTTTTGTATTAATTTTGACTGCGCTGTCACCATTGCCTGAGTATCTTTCCGACCTTTTGTCACGATGCTTTTTCATTGCTTTCTTTTATCTACCTTTTGTTCTGTGGCTTCGGTGCGTGCCATAAAAATACCTTGCGTTCAAAGTGATGAGTTATTTAAGTTCAGCGCAATGAGTGTCTCTCTCTTCCTTGGATGTCTCGTCTTTTTGTGCTGCTAATATCTGCGGTCTCACGGCTCTATCCGGCCACTTCATCCCCCCCCCCCGTTTTGGATAGAATATGACGGCCACGTGGGCGTACACTTTGTCGGTAATTATGAAATTAATTGGCCTTGCTTGGGAGAGTGCGTGGTGTCGTCCACGTTTTTGCAGCAGCGCTCTCCTTCGACATCGAGGTACACATGAAATGGATGGCTTTCTTTTCCTGCAATCCTGTACCAATTACTTCGCATTTTCTTTTTTCTGTTCTTTGTGTATAGCAGAAAGTGCACCATTAGTAAGGTATCGAGCTGTTCATAAACACTTCCAAAAATGTATGAAAGAAGTATCTGATTTCTGAAGGTGCCCAGAAAAGCTCTAGCCCCCGTATTCACAAACGCTCCTCGACTCGACTTTCACCCTTCACTTGACAGAGTTGAGCGCTGCGCCGCAGCTCGGCTGAGAATGGCGCTTCTCTACTCGAGAATAGCAGCAATTATTACTGATATGCAGTGACTCTCCCTGCCTAGAGATGACGCTTCCATTGGCTTTCTCGAGTGAAGATAGAGCGTTGAGTGAAGGGGCGTTCTAGAATACGGGGGTAGGCCTCAGTAATGGTGCATCTATGCTATGCGCAGCGAAAATGCGAAGAAAATATGAAGAAACTGCGGGAGGGCTGTAGCAAAAGAAAGTTTGTTTTTTGTTCTTGTAAGCCCCAGGTATCGGAAGGAATACAATCAGATTTCAATTATCAAACAGAGTAAAACCTAAAACACAACAGGCAGGGTTATATCATCATGAAATAGGCTGTGAGTTAGGCTGATGATATGTCAGCCAATTATGTGACGATATGTTCGAATACAATTTTTTTTATAGTGCGTGAACCTCAAACGCTATTTCAGATTATTCGCTAAGATGATGGCGTAACCATACGTAGACTGTTATTTTGTCCTGCCCTTAACAATTTTACCTGCCAAAACCAGCGTATATATGAATACGAGGAATGCTGTGGTTCACATCACTTCACATTAAATTCGACCATCTGGTGGTATTTAACATGCATCAACATCGAAGTACACCGGTGTTCTTTTTCTTCGCTCCCGTCAAAACGGGGTCGTAGTGGCAGGAATCGAACCCATGCTCTCAATTTTTACAGCGGGACGTCTTTTAATTATCATCCATCAGAGCGAATAGCTACTGCATCTCTAACTATCTTGTAAACTAATAATAACAATAGTAATATCTGGGTTTCACGTCTCAAAACCACGATATGATTATGGAGGAGGCCGTAGTGCAGGGCTCCGGAGACCACCTGGGGCTCTTCAGCGCTCCCCGACATCGCACAGTGCGAGGGTCTCAAGCATTTTCGCCTTCATTGAAAACGTGGCCGCCGTGGCCGGGATTCGATCCCGCGACCTTAGTACGGTAACCACAAGGCCGTTACGGCGGGGTCCTCTCGTAATCTCACCTTGAACAGCTTGAGCTTCTCCCACTGCGGGTAGAAGTAGTAGTAGAGGCCGTTGCCCGCTCCTTCGAGGGTGACGCCCCTCAGCAGCAGCACGCCGAGGATGAAGAATGGCGTGATGGCCGTGAAGTACGACACCTGCGGCGACACATTCATCAATACGTGTCGGCAGGCGAAAGTTTCGTCTGCAGACCAAGTACTAGATAGATGCCTCATGAGCCAAGAGGCTCCGCGTGATTTGGCGAGACCTGACGATACTTTGCGGGACATTGTAAGTGGCGTCGGTTTCAGCATACTGCAGCCTATAAGTACTGTCGTAGAATATGAGGTAGCGAATTCAAAAAGCGAAAAACAACACAATATGTACTGAACACAAGGATCAGTGGTTAATAAGGTACAAAGCGAATTGAGCAAGTGATCACGATGTGGCGCGATCAAGTTAAAGCATTCCACGTTTCAAACTTCATGGTCTGCTCTTTTGATTTCTCTTTCACGCGTCTGGTTTCTCCAAAATGCAGTTTGTTATTCCTAATGCCTACGCGCTACATGACATGCCCATTTCTTCTTGATATCGACCAAGATTAACATCAGTTTGTTCTCTGACCCACTCTGCTCTCTTTTTGTCTCTTAATTTGCTTAACTTGCTTCATCATCATTATAACTAATTCCCACTCACCTACTTCTGCTAGCGAACTATGATTAGTTAACCCATTAAGTACTTAATTATTTTTGGTTATTGTCATATATATGCGCAGTAGTGCTTTCGCGCACATTCGTACCGTTTTAGCTGTCGTAGATGTCACTTGATTATTCATTGCTTCGCTTTTCTCTCACTGGTTTTTCTTTCGAGCCCACGTTCGCGTGATACGTACAGGAATCGCACCTTAAAAGGACACTAAAAAGAAATAACAACCGAGTTTATATCAATGAACTGCACTTTTAAAGCTCTAATGTCATAGGTTTTATCGTCATAAGCGGATAAAGTCAAGGTTTGATTTGCCATTTTTAAATTTCGCACCGAAATCTTCACATGTGACGTAGGATTTTAAATTGTATTTTTCGTATTTTTGAGACGTTTCTTCTGTGAAATTTTCAGAAACTTCGTATGCTAGGTCAAGACAATGTGCTTATTTTTTATCGAGTAGTAGCTATGTAGGACCCAGCAGGCGCATTCAAGATTTATTACGTCACGGTGCTTGGTGCTGGAATCTCACAGTGGGGTCTGCACTAGCACTTTCTTTTTGCACGCTTTCCCGAATACCAAGCGTCGTGCCGCGTGAAAAGGGGTGTTTTTCTGGATTGTTACATTGTGCTTTACTCACACTATAAAAGTCGTTTTGCTATTTAGTCTCTCTACAATAAAAGGGCAAGCTTACCTTTCCGGAGGACCGCACTCCCTTGAAGACGCAGAAGAACACAGCGACCCACGATAGCGCAAGCCCGATCACGAGCCCCACTTGGATCTGCCCCAGATCGTGAATCCCAGAGCTCACGCCGAGAACGTAGTTCCTGCAAGAGTGAGTGGATTGTGTGGACAGCCTGCGCAACCTTGCTGCGTCACCTTAAACCTACGCTATACCTGAATGCTACCTACTTCCATGCGATAGATTCTACCCTTATGCTGCCCCCGAGTTTGTATGGTGAGAAAGCACTAATTCAAATGTCGAAGCATCGTTTTTCAAATGTTATTTAATAAGCTGTATACCGGTTTCACTATATATTATAAAATTGAGCAAGCGTAATTCCCGACGTTGCATGTAAGCGCAACTTGATTGATTGATATGTGGGGTTTAACGTCCCAAAACCACTATATGATTATGAGAGACGCCGTAGTGGAGGGCTCCGGAAATTTAGACCACCTGGGGTTCTTTAACGAGCACCCAAATCTGAGCACACGGGCCTACAACATTTCCGCCTCCATCGGAAATGCAGCCGCCGCAGCCGGGATTCGAACCCGCGCCCTGCGGGTCAGCAGCCGAGTACCTTAGCCACTAGACCACCACGGCGGGGCGTAAGTAAGCGCAACTTGACGCATTCCTTTGACCAAAGAATGTATGTTGTGAAAGGTGAAATGAAGCTTGACGTCGGAGCCAACTTTTATTTCAATAAGAGGGTACATTAGAGGCCGAAGTTAATTTTAATAGGTAGCCACCGAAGCGATTTAATCGAAGTACTGAGTGCGGAAAACAACAGTTTGAATGAGAAAATAAGCTAACTTTTCCTTTAAGGTCACAGAATCTTTCAGGGAATCGTGACGATAGTCAAGTAGGTTATACGGTGCTCGAAAGCGGACTCGAAGGTCCTAGAATCGAATTCTGGCCGCCACGGCCGCATTTTCGATAGAGGCTAAAAGGCTAGAGGCCCGTGTAGTTAGATTCAGGTGCACGTTGAAGAGTCCTAGGTGGGCGAAATTTCAGAGGTCTACATTGCTGCGTATCGCATAATTTTTTCGCGGGTTTTTGACTTTAAACCCCATCACTTCTTATTATTATTACTTATCTTCCAGGAACATCGAAAGAGCCTCCTATTGCATTCCTCTAAAAGATATTCTCGCTGGTAAAATGTTAAAGGTATACAAAAAAAGCGATTTTTCTCGTACTAGCTAATCTTTCGTAACTACATCATAACCACTGTTTCCGTGAGAAAACGCTTGCAAGAAGACGCTTGGCAGGTGGTTGGTTAGCGCGAAAACGCGCGGGAAGTGCGAGTGGCGACGCCATCGTGAAATATTGGCACCAACTGCAGTGACGTCACATATTTTGACGGCGTCTTCCATGGTCTTCTCACTTCTTAATCATCCGCAGACGTCCTCCGCGGTGGTCTAGTGGCTAAGGTACTCGGCTGCTGACCCGCAGGTCGCGGGATCGAATCCCGGCTGCGGCGCCTGCATTTTCGATGGAGGCGACAATGCTGTGTGCCCATCTGCTCAGATTTGGGTGCACGTTAAAGAATTCCAGGTGGTCGAAGTTTCCGGAATCATCCACTACGGCGTCTGTCATAACCATATGGTAGTTTTGGGACGTTAAATCCCAGGCATTTATTATTAACAGCATCTGCATGCTGTATAAATCCCAATCTTGTGTTATACTAGTTTCGTTCAATAGATATGACTTTTTCCCCGTCTATTTTTCATTCGGTCGTGCTGCTACCGATAGATGGCACCGCGTAGAGATGCCCACAAATCCTCTAAAGGCATTACGAAAAATTCGCTTTCAAATCCCTGAAGTCCAGCGTGAAGATTTGGACATGACATTTGAAACTGGAACTTCGACCTTGACTTTCCCTGCTATTGATATGCTTATGATGAAGAAAATAGCCGTTTTAGTGTTTTCCGAGCGGATTTTATGAATCTGAACCGATTAAATATTTCACTGTTTACTTAAGGCAAGCGGTAACTAACTCGTAGAACTCCTCTGGTGCGGTGACCATCTGGTCAGTGCAGTTTGCGACGGCGTTGGTGTAGAGTTGCTTGGGCACAAGCACCGAGCCGTTGGCGCCTCCGAGCACCACGCTGGTCTCCAGGTCCGTGCCGTTGAGCACCACGTAGATTTTGTACAACGTCTTGTTCACGTACCTGCAGGCTTTCTGTGAGAAAAAAAAAAGGTTTAGGAGGTCTTGGGGGGGGGGGGGGGGGGGGGGGCGTTCCTAAGAATTCGAAGTGATGGAAGCCTTACGTTAATGACGACGCCCGTAGATCGATTAAAAGTGCGAGCGCGTGATTTCAGCGCGATTTTATCTCCGGAGTTTGGGCATCGGTGCCGAGTCTGTGATCGTTTGTGGTTTAACTGAAATCTCTCTGCGCTCGGAAACAGCGCAGAAACAGTTTAGCATCACTTGGCTAAAGCTTAGCAACAACCTTGAATCAACCTATAAGTCCCTGCATCCCCTATAGCTAAAGCCAAGAATCAATGCATAAACCAGCCCAGCATCGCCTACAGATGAATCCTAGCTACAACCTTGAAGTGATCACACCAGGAATGGTTCAGCTTCGCTGGTTCAAACCATGCGCGACTAGCTGCAAGCCTCGCCACTTTTTTTTATACCAATTTTCTAGTAGAGAGTGAACAAGCTGGAATACCTGTCCCGTCGACTTCTTTGTAATGAGCTAATTCAGCATTCTTACAGAGGACGAGCTCACCAGCATGTTGTCGCTGTCGACGCAGTGCTCGTTTGCCCAGGCGGGGTCGCAGCGGGTCCAGGGAAGCTCTTTGCCGGCGAACGAGTACCACAGGTAGTTGAGCGAGTAGGACAGCAGCAGGTTGTAGTAGAAACAGATCACGAAGCACGTGTACACCATGGCCCAGCCGACACCTGCGCGATAGTTACCTCACTATGACACGTTTCCAACGTTTAGGTGGTATAGGGGGAAAAAACTTGAGAAAAAAAGGGACAGTGAGAACACTGGTGTTCAACTAAATTTATTGCCCAGAAAGAACTGCTTTTGATATTGTCTACATGCGCAGACAGACGCCGAAACGGGGTATGTGGCGCTTGCATGTTGCCACACAACAGGAATTCACATGCGTTGAGTGAAAATGACCAGCTTCTTTTCGCGACAGCGTGATAGGGGCATCCAGTGCTTACATGGAGAACTGTGTGATAAGAAAATGAGAAACGGGTGCTCACCCCTGGCCATTGGGACGCAGTCGAAGACCTGCGTGGCGCCGGAACTCCGGAACTGCCCCATGAGCATCTCCATGTAGAACATGGAGCGGCCCACCACCGTCATGATCAGCAGGTAGGGAAGCAGGAACGCCCCTGCACACGACACTTGCTTCAGGACTTTCGAAAAGGAAACTAGACGCGCGCAAAACGAAGAAAGAATAACGTGCAAATGGGAGTATTACAAAAGTTTCAAAATTAGCCACCAAGGTGGTCTAATGTTTATGGAATTTTACTGCACGCTGCTGATTCGAAGGTCGCGGTATTGAATGCCGACCCCGGATGCGACATTTTGTGCATTTTGACCAAGACAGAAGTGTCTTCCGTCCTCGTCGGTCTCGCGCTGTACCCAAAATATGCGGCCTTATACCAACTAGCCCTACTTTCAATGCTATTGAGTCTATAGCTGATTGATTTGTGGGGTTTTACGTCCCGAAACCACCATATGATTATGAGAGACGCCGTAGTGGAGGGCTCCGGAAATTTTAACCACCTGGGGTTCTTTAACGTGCACCCAAATATGAATTGAGTCTATAGCTATATGAAGCTACGTCAATGCCACAGCTGTAGAGCGCGTCAATGTGCGCATGCGCACGCACTTACCTCCGCCGTTCTCGTAGGCAACGTACGGAAATCTCCAAATATTTCCCAGCCCGATGGACATCCCCGTGCTGGCCAACAGGAACTCCACATTGCTGGCCCATTTCTGGCGTGGGTACTCCATCCTGCGAAAATGGTTTACCTATAGATAAAATTGGATACCTAGACAAAAGTTTGTGCAATTTGATTAGTGAGTGTGCGATTTCCCGTGGTTATGCATCTGTAAATGCATGCCAAATGCTTCACTTTGCATATGAGAATGGGCCGCTTAATTAATAGTTTTGGTATGTTTACGCTTCTGTAGCAGTACATACGCGCACACTTCTCAACAGCATTGTCCCCTGGGCATGTTTCATATATCGTCATAATTCTCGTGACACAGAATGGCTAACACCAACAGGAGACAAGGTGGTATGACCCCGTCATTCGCTTACTTCTGGTGCACAATTCATTGCGCTAAAGCAATAGTCAGCGTCAAATTTAACAATAGTCAGCGTACATAGTAGAATATGATCCCACTGAAGAGTTTAGTTGATTGATTTGTGGGGTTTAACGTCCCAAAACCACCATATGATTAACCACCAGCGTACATAGTAACGGCAGAGCTCGTATCACAGGAAAAGCGCTGGAAAAAAAAAACTGCTTCGGAAATACACCGAAAAAGTTTCAGGCTTCGTCATTACGCTTTCTTAATTTTCCGGTGCTGCCCTTTGCCGTTTTCATAAGGAGTCTGTGCTTAGCGGGGAGACCCAACCAGGATCGTGATAAAAGCCTCCGAGGGTGTGGAGACCCTACTAACAACGTTTTGCGAATTTCCCGCCAGGGGAAGAGCACATGCGCCGTGGCACTGTGGACATGGTCACACAGCCGTCACATCGGTTGAGGAGGCACGTTAATATAGCCGCGGAATCACTCCAAACGCCACATCAAGTCAGTGCATTACGTACCGAGCGGGTGGTTAAAAGCTAGTCGCCCAATCGATGTAAAAGAATCATACATGATAATTCATATACGTCTGCATCATCAGCTACAGAATTAACAAAGCTCGCCGCTAGGCTATACGCAGGTGAGCGTAATTGTAGGCACGTATAGGGAGCACTTCGCTTCAGAGATTGAGCGTAGAGTAACGCTAAAGCGCTTCAGCTTGAGAAGCCTAAGCGTCTTCCAATATATCGCGTTGGAGATATTTTCTTTTCAATTTAATATTGTATACTTCCAGCATTTCGTGTATTGTTACGTGGTCGATTCGCGCTCGTAGGTGCGTGTTGTGTTTGAGTGATTGTACGTGAGCGTAAGTTACTGTTCCGTAATTGTGTTTGGGACAATCGCTCGGCTGTTTTTGTGACGTTAAGGGGCCGTTTGCGCCACCGAAGGTGATCTGACAAAGCTGTGCGAACGTACGGACAGACATAGCTAACGGAGTTGCACTCACAGGACTGACTTCTTTTTCAGTACGTATACGAGAAAACGCACCTGACTCGTGGTTATGCGGCCGCTTCGACGAGGCCTTTCTGGCTGGCGGGACCTGCGAAACGGGAAGACCGGACTTCAGCACGCGCTGTCTTCTTCTACATCATCGTCGCCACGGCTAGTGCACGTGCATACGGAAACCTACGTATCTGCACTTGGATTTGTGGACGTATCCTAATTACACAGCTAACTTCGGCATGAAAGCTTGTCAGATTACACGCGACGTGTCTCGCCTTTCTAAACCACGTGTCTCGCCTTTTATGCGCCTCTGGCATGTTGTGAAATGACATCAGGGACGTTGACTTAAACTTTGCAAACCACGTGTCGTGGCCAATCACCCAATCCTTCAGAGTGGGCGTGGGCCAGTGCTGTAAGTCATCATCATGATTGTCATTATCCGTGGAAGGCGTAAGCCATATGTTGAAGCTGCAACATCATTTAAAGCCCTAATGACTGACACCTTCCTCACTGCTATCAGCTAAGCTCTTCTAGGGCAAGCCTGTTTCGTCTGAAATGCTGCCGGTGTCATGAAGGTCAGATGACCACTTGAGTAAGTAAAATGGTAACTAACACTAATTGATGGTGATGCTCGAAATGACGACGACGACGATGACCATGATGATGATGATGATGGTGGTGGTGGTGGTGGTGGTGGTGGTGGTGGTGGTGGTTAAGTCGCTGTTCGCAGATGGTTTTGATGGCATGTAACTAATAGCTGGCTGAGCTTCGTTTGTGTTTGATAAACTGAACAACGTTTTGTGCGTTCAAACACCACGATTTATCATAACCAGACAAATTGTTTTATATCCTCAATAATAACTGTGTTTCTTTCATCTGCATTCTCTCCCGCTCGCCTCCTTGTTTAGAGATATTAACGCCATAGCATTAAAAAGATAGTTTCGCAGAAATTTCGGTGTTGGCGTCGTTGATCAGTGAGTGAGAAATCATCCTAATTCCGTGGGCGATAAATCGAGAAAGGTCCAAAAATAGAATAAAAATAAGCATTCCCGGGGTCAAGTGACGATCCTGGTTCCGAGTGAGGATCGAGCCCAGGCTGTTTGCGTGGCCAACAGGTCTGCCAAACAGCCACGCGTCTGCTTGGAAATGCAGTGAAAATAACTTTCATGCTTTACGCACATGCATCATGGATACTTCACAAAGAAACATCTAATGTCGAAGTAATACTGCTTGGTACAAGCTGTATATTGGCATCGGGCGCCAGGACATGTTACCATATCGAGTTCGTGGCTTAAAAGCCGCGGCGTTTCACTACAAAAGGCACACACAGTATTTTCATCTATACAAAAGGACGTAACATTTATTATTGTTCAGTAGACAACCGCAAAATTATTCTATTGTATTATAATCACGCTATAAATCTCAAACCTAAATATTTTACTAGTTTGCAGGTTTTTTTTTTTGGGGGGGGGGGGGTTGCCCTCTCGTCTCCTACTAGTTCATGACCAAGCCTACCGTATGGAACATTAGCTAAACCACTGCCGCACCTCTCGTGGCCGATCTCCTCGTGGTGGGTTCTGCCATTCTTTCGGGAATCATCATCATAATCATAATCAATCCCCCTCAGTGGCTGTGTGCCACAGCTAATAGGTGAACAAGAACAAGAACAAAATGGCCGCGTGTCAGCCATCTTCAACGGCCTATCTTCAAGGAGAGGCAACGATGGCAGAGCCACGTATACCAGCCTTCGTCGGAGCTTAGCAACAAGTGCGGACTGCCGACGGCAGTGTCACCCTCGAAGCCGCCCGCTCCGCAAGACGTTGTCGAAGACGGGCGGCCTCTGTACCTGGGCAGCCGTCGTCAGCAGGTGACGTCTGGAATCTTCTTTCTGCTGCTCTTACTCTCCTGGCTCGCCATGGTACTGATGCACGTCACGGAGGATCACTCTGCCGACACCTTGGTCCGGCCGCCGCCGAGTCACATGAGTGACTATCCTATTCCTCCGGACAGTGGGGTCTTAGCCTTCGAAGTGGTGGCTAACGAGACCGTAGACACTGTAGGGTATGTGCATGAAGCAGCCACCGCGTTGTATCTTTCTTCTGCCTCGTGTCGCTGCGCTGTTTTCAAGATGTATACGCTTGTTAATACGGTTCCAGTTAGAGCCCATCTGCAAGCAAAGTGGTCTGTAGGTAGAACCAGGTTAGTTGAGCCCCAAGTGGGTTCCAACGACTTCCAGTACTACTGGACGTGGCTCCAGTTGGCTTGTAGATGGAACCAGTTGCTTTCATTGCTGGAAGTGATAACCATGGGACTAGCTGAAACCAGTTGATGCTATTTAGTGCCAATTGCAATCTACTAGATTTCCAGCGTCGTGGGTCACGCATTTCGTCTCTGTGTTTGCGCTCACAGCGCTTATGACAAGCTGCATTCGCGGCAAGAATGGCGGGAACTTATGCGTTGGGGATCCTGAGGCTATAGTGCAGGCACATAAGATGGCCCACAAATAAGGCACAGCTCACACGTGCTATCAACTGCTTTATGCCTTTACAAGTCAATGCATATATATGTCCAGGGCAACCTTACCGTACATGCGCACATAGCCATAGCTCTAAACCAAGAGTGAAACAAAGATGAAGTCAGTGTATTAGATATGTGAAGGCATGAAGCCATATTCAGATGGGTACACGATGAAAAGTGCCACTGATACATAGCTGAACAGGTTAAGCTCTTTATTATGTGGTAAGCTTCTAGGGCCAGTCACGCAAGCTGTGAGCGTGCTGCGCACGGTGAAATTTCGAGTTCCATTTTTTTAATTTTTATTGAGCATATTTTCGTTTGTGCTGTAACTTTAGCTTCAGGAACACGTACCCACTAGGCCATATGGCAAAGATGGGCCCTGTGGGGGAGGGGGGGGGCATGCAAGAACTATGCTACCACCACTCCCTGCGCCTCGTCTGCTTGTGTACATTCACCCTGAATTCACAATGAGCACTCTCCACTTGCCTCCCAGAACCGTGACATCTGCGGTTTTCAGTACCGTGACATCTGCGGTTCGTTCTAAAGTTGTAGAGCAAACCAAGTCGACGCCGCGCTTGCGCAAATCGGCCTGCCGTGACCTCTACCTGGAATCGCTTGCAGCTGCGGCGGAAGTCACCACGGTAATGACACGGCACCGGCTTCGCACTCCGGCCGTAAACTGGTAATTCTCACGATATCGAGACCCTCTTTCATTCGTGCATGTGTTCACAAGACTGGGGAACTCAAGTTATGACGACTACGCCTGGTGAAAGCCGAATAACTCAGAAACTGCACAGAGTCCCACCACCTCCGCCTGAGATGAACTGAAAAAAGTGTGTTGATGCGTGTTGTTAGCTACATTCAGAAATTCGAAAATATCGCTAGGACGGCACATGGAATTACCTTAGCGGTCTGTCTTCTGCCTTTATTAGGTGCCCTGTCCCCCACTGTTTTTGAATTTTACTTCTTGAAAAATGGTATTCTGTAAATTGCACACGCCACTGACACGTCACGACAAATTACATGTTTCGTGTTTTCTTGCACGTACACTGTCGTCCTTTATGAAAGGGAACACGCGAACGCGTGGCTTGCGCTCTGTGTCGGTAAAGATCAAGGGGCTTTATGTGGTGGCTCCTACAGCTCCATCAACCGTCAAGTGAAGAAAGCACGTTCGCTTTT